TAAATATTATATGTATATACAATATATTATATTGTACCATTATATTGTAATATTATTAGTAATATTACATGTTATACAAACATATAATTATAATATCATATTATTAGTAGTATTATATTGCATTACATTATAATATTATAAGTACTATATATTATATTATACCATTATATTGTAATATTATTAGTAATATTACATGTAATATAAATATATAATATAATATCATATTATTATTAGTATTATATTGCATTACATTATAATATTATAAATATTATATGTATATACAATATATTATATTATACCATTATATTGTAATATTATTAGTAATATTACATGTAATATTTATAATATTATAGATATATGTATATACAATATATTATGCTATACTATTATATTGTAATATTATTAGTAATATTACATGTAATATAAATATATAATTATAATAACATATTATTATTAGTATTATATTGCATTACATTACATGTTGTGAACCGGCCTTATAATATTATAATATTATAAATATATGCATATACAATATATTATATTTTGTAATATCATATTGTTATTAGTATTATATTGCATTACATTATAATATTATAAATATTATATGTATATAAAATATATTATATTACATTACATTATATTATATTATTAGAATAGCTCAGGAGACAAGGTGGACCTGTCTTCTGCCCCCCTCCCCTCTCTTGACTCCTTGTTGACCTTCCTTTCCTTAGGTCAACGTGAAGACGCTGAAGATCGGTCCGCTTTCCAAGGCGGGCTTCTACCTGGCCTTCCAAGACCAAGGGGCCTGCATGGCCCTCCTCTCCGTCCGGCTCTTCTACAAGAAGTGTCCCTCGGTGACGGTCAACTTCACCCTCTTCCAAGAGACGGTGCCCCGGGAGCTGGTCATGCCGGTCAGCGGTCAGTGCGTGGCCCACGCCGTCAAGGTCAGCGCTCGGCCCCTCAGCATGTACTGCCGGGAGGACGGGCAGTGGGCCGAGCAGACCATCACCGACTGCACCTGCGGGCCGGGATACGAGCCCTCCGAGGAGAACACCAAGTGCCGCGGTGAGCAAGTGAATGCAGGTGGGGCAGCAGCAGGAGGAGGGAATTTGAATATGGGGCAGCTCCCATATTCGTGATTTCAATAGTCTACGTTTGCACCCATCTTGGAGTTCAGATATGCAGAATTCTGCAAAACCAATCGGTCTTTTCTTGTTAACTCCCAGAATCCCTCAGAATGGGAGTTGCCTTCCAAAACAGCCAACTTTGATGAAGTTCTGACCATTCTGCCCCATATTCCTTTCAACAGGTCAATCCTTTCCAGCAAGCCCTAAATACCTCTTTCCTTCTGCAGGCCTTCTCAGAAGGGCTACCATAGAATCATAGAATCAAAGAGTTGGAAGAGACCTCATGGGCCATCCAGCCCAACCCCATTGTGCCAAGAAGCAGGAATATTGCATTCAAAGCACCCCTGACAGATGGCCATCCAGCCTCTGTTTCAAAGCCTCCAAAGAAGGAGCCTCCACCACACTACGGGGCAGAGAGTTCCACTGCTGAACGGCTCTCACAGTCAGGAAGTTCTTCCTCATGTTCAGGTGGAATCTCCTTTCTTGGAGTTTGAAGCCATGGCTCCATTATTTATTTATTTGCTTATTTCGGTTGCTTCTACCCCGCCCTTCTCACCCCGAAAGGGACTCAGGGCGGCTTACAAAAACAAGGCACAATTCGATGCCCGAATCACAAACAATAGTAAAACAAAATAACATCAATTAACAATTAAACAACATTTCTTACATTACTGCCATAAAACCAATAAAACCAATAAAATCAATACAAACCAGTTTCTCCTCATTGACGGTCAACGTTCGCTAGCTCATAGTTCAATTTCCAATTCCACTGTTGTCAGTCCTGTTAGTCCCATTCGTCTGGTTACCCTTATCTAGGAGTCAGATTGCCCAAAGGCCTGGTCCCATAACCACGTCTTTACCTTCCTCCTGAATTTCCCCCCCGGAGTGAGTTCCACAGGTGAGGGGCCACCACTGAGAAGGCCCTGCTCCTCGTCCCCACCAACCTCACTTGTGATAGCGGTGGAGTCGAGAACAGGGCCCCCTCAGATGATCTCAAATTCCGAGGTGGGACATAGAGGGAGATACGTTCGGACAGATACACTGGACCGGAACCATTGTGTCCTAGTCTCCAGGGAAGCAGAAAGGAAGCTTGCTCCCTCCTCCTCCCTGTGGCTTCCTCTCACATATTTATACCTGGCCCTCATATCTCCTCTCAGCCTTCTCTTCTTCAGGCTAAATATGCCCAGCTCCTTAAGCCGCTCCTCATAGGGCTTGTTCTCCAGACCCTTGATCATTTTAGTCGCCCTCCTCTGGACACATTCCAGCTTGTCAATCTCTCTCTTGAATTGTGGTGCCCAGAATTGGACACAATATTCCAGGTGTGGTCTAACCAGAGCGGAATAGAGCATGGGGAGCATGACTTCCCTAGATGTAGACACTATGCTCCTCTTGATGCAGGCCAAAATTCCCATTGGCTTTTTTTGCTGCCACATCACATTCCTGGCTCATGTTTAACTTCCTGTCCACGAGGACCCCGAGATCTTTTTCACATGTCTTGCTCTCGAGCCAGGCCTCATCGTCCCCCATTCTGTATCTTTGCATTTCATTTTTCCTGCCAAAGTGGAGTCTCTTGCATTTGTCCCCGTTGAACTTCATTGTGTTAGTTTTGTATAACTATGTGAGAGGAAGCCATAGGGAGGACGGATCAAGCTTGTTTTCTGCTGCCCTAGGATGCAATGGGACAATGGCTTCAAACTACAAGAGAGGAGATTCCATCTTAATATGAGGAAGAACTTCCTGATTGTGAGAGCCATTCAGCAGTGGAACTCTCTGCCCCGGAGTGTGGTGGAGGCTCCTTCTTCGGAGGCTTTGAAACAGAGGCTGGATGGCCATCTGTCGGGGGTGCTTTGAACGCGATTTTCCTTCTTCTTGGCAGAATGGGGTTGGACTGGATGATGGCCCACCAGGTCTCCTCCAACTCTAGGATTCGATGATGATGATGATGATGAAGATTAAGATGATGATTATTGATTCTAAGTCATAGGGAGGAGGGAGCAAGCTTCTTTTCTGCTTCCCTGGAGACTAGGACGCAATGGAGCCATGCCTTCAAACTGCAAGAGAGGAGATTCCATCTGAACATTAGGAAGAACTTCCTGACTGTAAGAGCCGTTCAGCAGTGGAACTCCCTGCCTCGGAGTGTGGTGGAGGCTCCTTCTTTGCAGGCTTTTTAACAGAGGCTGGGTGGCCGTCTGTCGGGGGTGCTTTGAATGCAATTTTCCTTCTTCTTGGCAGAATGGGGTTGGACTGGATGGGCTATGCGGTCTCTTCCAACTCTCGGATTCTAAGTGGGGTTCCCTCTTTGAAAACCCCAGAGTCGAACCCCACTTGCTCTGCTCCCCTGCTTCCCAGAAAGACCCCCCAAAACAGCCTCCCTTGTATCTGTCTTGTATCTTTCTCTCTGTGTCCTGTCCTTGGGAAGCGAGGGGTCTTTGAACTCCAGGCCGACAACTGTGGGGCTGCTCTGTGGGGCTTGAAGAATGCCAAATATTTGTGGGGGGTCAAGGGTAGCCAGCTTGCAGGCGGCTGCCTTTCTGTATGTGGGTGGGTGGGTGGGAAGCACCCCAGTGTCCTTGAACCCAATGGCCATTTTAAGCAGCACCACCAGACTGGGCAGATTTTCAAAGGGAAACTTTCCAAAAGAAGGATGGGTTGGGGGTCTCTGGATTGTTTGCATGAGGAGGGGGGGGGGTATGATTGTTTGTCAGCACAGAGCTTGGGAAAGTAATGTGTTTTTACAGGATGATGTCAGGTAGTGCAATACTCAGCCATCCAGAAAAAGTAACTTTTTTCCATGCTCTGCAAAAGTTTGGCTTGGCACTATTTTTATTTATTTGTTTATTTCATTGAACAGTCCGTACGTCTTGCGATGACATTGACCTTGTATGTGCTGTATCTCAAGTCCCTGAGGCGTGTCTTCGACGTGGCGTGTGTTCACTCAAACTGTGAGAACAGCAGTGGTTCAAGACCATATAAGCAAGGGACTTAACCCATGAGCCCATACAGTATGACCAATAAGCAATTACAATGCACAATTATTACAAAAAACAACCGTACCCAATCTTCTCATCATCATCTCATCATATGTATTGCCACTCCTATGTTCCATTACCAGATTGCACTAAATTACTCCAACGCCTGCACAAACATCCAGGTCTTCACCTTTTTGCGGAATACCATTAGAGATGGTGCTAGTCTAATGTCCGTAGGAAGGGCGTTCCACAGCCGAGGAGCCACCACCGAGAAGGCCCTATCTCTCGTCCCCGCCAGCCGAGCTTGAGAAGCAGGCGGGATCGAGAGCAGGGTCTCCCCGGAAGATCTCAAAGTCCTGGTGGGTTCATAGGCAGAGATGCGGTTGGATAGGTAGCTTGGGCCGGAACCGTTTAGGGCTTTAAAGGCCAACGCCAGCACTTTGAATTCAGCCCGGTAGCAGATCGGTAGCCAGTGGAGTTGGCGCAACAGGGGGGTTGTATGCTCCCTGCGCTCCGCTCCTGTTAAAATCATGGCTGCCGAGCGTTGGACTAGTTGGAGCTTCCGAGCTGTCTTCAAAGGCAACCCCACGTAGAGAGCGTTGCAGTAGTCTAAACGGGATGTAACCAGAGCGTGTACCACCGTGGCCAAGTCAGACTTCCCAAGGTACGGGCGCAGCTGGCGCACCAGCCTAAGCTGTGCAAATGCTCCCCTGGTCACCCCTGAAACCTGGAGATCCAGGCTCAAAGATGAATCCAGGGTCACACCCAAGCTGCGAACCTGCCTTCAAGGGGAGTGCGACCCCATCCAGCACAGGCTGTAACCCTATACCCTGTTCGGCCTTACGACTGACCAGGAGTACCTCTGTCTTGTCTGGATTCAATTTCAATTTGTTCGCCCTCATCCAGACCGTTACAGCGGCCAAGCACCGGTTCAGGACCTCGACAGCCTCCTTAGTAGCAGGTGGAAAGGAGTGACAGAGTTGGACATCATCTGCGTACAGATGACACCGTACCCCGAAACTCCGGATGATCTCCCCAGCGGCTTCATGTAGATGTTAAACAACATGGGAGACAATATTGAGCCCTGAGGAACCCCACAAGACAATGGTTGTGGGGTTGAACAGGTGTCCCCCAACAACACCTTCTGAGATCGACCCTCCAGGAATGACCGAGTGACTAGCCGTCCCTTGCCATGTGTTGCTGTGGCCATGTCTGTGTATATGTTTTGTGTGTGTATATATATATGTTTATGTGTGAATATATTTGTGTATATGTGTATATATGTGTGTTTGCATAGATAGATAGATAGATAGATAGATAGATAGATAGATAGATAGATAGATAGATAGGTGGGTGTATATATTTGCATGCATGTGTGTGTATATATGTGTGTGTATATATTTGTGTATTTCTGTGTTTATATGTGTATATGTATATTGTCTATATGTGTATGCTTGTGTATATATATGTGTGTGTGTGTATGTATGTCTATATGTATATCTGTACATGTATATATGTAAATATATGTGTATGTGTGCATGTGTATATATGAGTGTGTGTGTGTGTGTGTGTGTATAGCTTATTTTGGGGTTTTTTAAGTCCATTCTGCTGTTTTTTTGTGTATTTTTAGGTGCATATATGTGTGCATGTGTATATTTATATGAGAGTGTGTGTGTGTGTGTGTGTGTGTGTATATATATATATATATATATATATATAATATAGCTTATTTTGGGGGTTTTTAAGTCCATTCTGCTGGGTTTTTTGTGTGTTTTTAGGTGCATATATGTGTGCATGTGTATATTTATATGAGTGTGTGTGTGTATAGCTTATTTTGGGGTTTTTTAAGTTCATTCTGCTGTTTTTTTTTGTGTATTTTTAGGTGCATATATGTGTGCATGTGTATATTTATATGAGAGTGTGTGTGTGTATATATATATATATATAATATAGCTTATTTTGGGGTTTTTTAAGTCCATTCTGCTGGGTTTTTTGTGTGTTTTTACGTGCATATATGTGTGCATGCGTATATTTATATGAGTGTGTGTGTGTGTGTGTGTATATATATATATATATATATATATATAGCTTATTTTGGGGGTTTTTAAGTCCATTCTGCTGGGTTTTTTGTGTGTTTTTAGGTGCATATATGTGTGCATGTGTATATTTATATGAGAGTGTGTGTGTGTGTGTGTGTGTATATGTATATATATATGTGTGTTTGTGTGTGTGTGTGTATATATATATATATATATAATTTTGGGGGTTTTTAAGTCCATTCTGCTGGGTTTTTTGTGTGTTTTTAGGTGCATATATGTGTGCATGTGTATATTTATATGAGTGTGTGTGTGTGTGTGTGTGTGTGTGTGTGTATATATATATATATATATAGTTTATTTTGGGGGGTTTTAAGTCCATTCTGCTGGTTTTTTTGTGTGTGTTTTAGGGGTGATGTGCTTTTGTGTGTGTGTATGTGTGTCTGTATATATGTATGTGTGCGTGTGTATATATATATATATATAATTTTGGGGGTTTTTAAGTCCATTCTGCTGGGTTTTCTGTGTGTTTTTACGAGTGATGGTCACTTCTTGGCCTGAAAGGTGTCTTGTGTCCAAATTTGGTGTCAATTCACCCAGTGGTTTTTGAGTTCTGTTAATCCCACAAACTAACATTATGTTTTTATTTATATAGATGTTCTATTTGGTGGTGTTTTATCTGATTGTTACGCTTTGCTATGTATTATTTTAATTATATTTTATTGTTCTGAATGGACTGTTTTGCTTTGATGTTCTGTGCCCACTTTGTCCCATGTGTAAGCCGCCCCAAGTACCTTCGGGGAGATTTATTTATCGAATCAGGTGCGAACCAAACCAGTTGTATTGCATTAAAAAACAGACAAGCAAACAAACAAAACACAAAGTTTGCAAGTTTGGTAGTTGAGTAAATGTCGTTTGACCAGTATCTGGCCCCTTGGAGTGCCTCTGGTGTTACTATAAGAAGGTCCTCCATGGTGCATGTGGCAGGGCTCAGGGTGCATTGCAGCAGGTGGTCAGTGGTTTGCTCTTCTCCACACTCGCATGTCGTTGACTCCACTTTGTGGCCCCATTTCTTGAGGTTGGCTCTGCATCTCGTGGTGCCAGAGCGCAGTCTGTTCAGCACCTTCCAAGTCGCCCAGTCTTCTGTGTGCCCAGGGGGGAGTCTCTCATTGGGTATCAGCCATTGGTTGAGGTTCTGGATTTGAGCCTGCCATTTTTGGACTCTCGCTTGCTGAGGTGTTCCAGCGAATGTCTCTGTAGATCTTAGAAAACGATTTCTTGATTTAAGTCGTTGACGTGCTGGCTGATACCCAAACAGGGGATGAGCTGGAGATGTCCCTGCCTTGGTCCTTTCACTATTGGGTGGTACCCCCTGCCACTTTTGGACTCTCACTTGCTGGGGTGTTCCAGAGAGTGTCTCTGCAGATCTTAGAAAACTATTTCTCGGTTTAAGTCATTGACATGCTGGCTGATCCCCAAACAGGGGATGAGCTGGAGATGTCTCTGCCTTGGTCCTTTCACTATTGGTTGCTACTCCCCGGCAGATGTCAGGTGGTGCAATACCGGCTAAACAGTGTAATTTCTCCAGTGGTGTAGGGCGCAGGCACCCCATAATAATGCGGCATGTCTCATTAAGAGCCACGTCCGCTGTTTTAGCGTGGTGAGATGTGTTCCACACTGGGCAGAGTAGCACAGCGCAAGGGCAGATGCCTTCACTGTGTCTGGTTGTGATCCCCAGGTTGTGCCAGTCAGCTTTCGTATGATATTATTTCTAGCACCCAATAAAGTTATTATTATAAAACACATATATTAAAAGAATATAGATTTAAGATACATCCAGGTGGTTCATACCAAACATTATCATCGTGCATACCAGTAATCATAACGGAAGCATGGCTGTTTCTATAAATAATAGGAGAGTCAGCAAGAGATGAATTCCAAGTCTGGTTGAACAGGAGCCCTTTGTTAAGAGAAAGGAAAGCTACCAAAGGCCAGGACGGGCAGAGGAACACCTGGCTGAGAATACACATTATAGGGGATGTAGGATGATTGCCCATTAGAAACATGTAAGATATGAAGAACTAGCAAATGAGCAAACAACCTGCAAGTGCTTAAAGATCCTACCAGAAAACAGTTTGAGAGGAAGGAGTTCACTGAACTTTGTGTTTAGCTAGTGCCGTTGTGGCTTCCTCTTTCCGCAAACGATGAAATTCTTGTTTTGTCCTTCTTAATTGGCTTCCTTTTTTTTTGCTTCTGAGATTGACAATTTTAGGGTACCGAGGGCTCCTGTGATAAAACTACAACTCTCAATCTTCCATAGCATTCGGCCAAATTGTGTCAAACAGCGTTTATTGGGCAGCAGAGATGCTCCCTTTGTGTGTGTGTGTGTGTGTGTGTGTGTTTTGTTCAGCCATTGGTTGAGGTTTATTTATTTATTTATTTATTTATTTATTTGCTTTACTTCTATACCGCCTTTCTCAGCCGAAATGGCGACTTAAGGCGGTTTACATAGTAAAGGTTAACACAACAACATCAAAAAAGCAGTTAAAAACACATTATATTATGGTTGAGGTTCTGGGTTTGAGCCTGCCACTTTTGGACTCTCGCTTGCTGGGGTGTTCCAGCGAGTGTCTCTGTAGATGGAATGCTGTTTTCTACAACAAAATGCTCATACCCAAGTTTGCATCAGTAAGAAATATGGGAGTCAGCAATCCTGATTCTGGCAGTGCCAAATTGACTGGGAAATTTCTGTGCCCAGCAAGCAGAAATAGGGATTTTGGAATATACCTGCCCCCATCAACACTGTCCCACTTAGGCAAAGAAAGCTCCGGATTACTTCTCTGTCAACCAACTTTTTCCAGCTAAAATGTCCTAGTTTCTCTTGCTGCATCCTTCATCCTCAGCTCAATTCAGTTGCTGCAAATTGAATTTAGAAAAGCCTGCATATTTTCCCAAGTGGAGGTTCAGGCAGGAAGGAAAAAGAGTTCAGGGCCCTCCATTACGGTCCTTGTTTTGGAGAATGTTGTTGATGTGACTGCAAGATCCATCTTGAAATCCACCTTTTCTCCTTCCTTCCTTCTTTCTGCTTGCAGCCTGTCCGCCAGGGATGTTCAAGCCCACTCAGGGTGAGGGGCCCTGCCAGCCCTGCCCCTCCTACAGCAACTCCCAGGCTCCGGGTTCCAGCGAGTGCGCCTGCCGGGTGGGCTTCTTCCGGACGGAGAAGGACCCCGTGACCAAACCCTGCACCAGTGAGTGGTGGGACATGGGGAGGGCATTTCTCATGGCACAGCATGCCCAGTGTGGAACACATCTCACCACACTAAAACAGTGGATGTGGCTCTTTATGAGACATGCCGCATTATCATGGGGTGTCTGCGCCCTACACCACTGGAGAAATTACACTGCTTAGCCGGTATTGCACCACCTGACATCCGCCGGGAAGTAGCAGCCAATAGTGAAAGGACCAAGGCAGAGACATCTCCAGCTCATCCCTTGTTTGGGTATCAGCCAGCACGTCAACGACTTAAATCTAGAAATAGTTTTCTAAGATCTACAGAGACACTCGCTGGAACACCTCAGCAAGCGAGCGTCCAAAAGTGGCAGGCTCAAACCCAGAACCTCAACCAATGGCTGATACCAAATGAGAGACTCCCCCCTGGGCACACAGAAGACTGGGCGCTTGGAAGGCGCTGAACAGACTGCGCTCTGGCACCACGAGATGCAGAGCCAAGCTTCAGAAATGGGGCTACAAAGTGGAATCCTCGACATGCGAGTGTGGAGAAGAGCAAACCACTGACCACCTGCTGCAATGCAACCTGAGCCCTGCCACATGCACAATGGAGGACCTTCTTGCAGCAACACCGGAAGCACTCCAAGTGGCCAGATACTGCTCAAAGGACATTTAACCAACTACCAAACTCACAAGATGTGTATTTTTCTGTCTGTCTGCTTTGTTCTGTTAGAAATGTAATATATAATGGACTGGTTGCTCTGACACGACAAATAAAATAAAATGGCACAGCAAACAGAGAGGAATTGACCACCAACTGAACATACTGGAGGGACTCAATGGGATAGAAGTTGTAGTTCACCCTGCATCAAGACAGAGCACTGTATTTATTTATTTATCGTGTTAGGAGCAAACCAAACCAGTTATATTGCATTTTTTAACAAACTAACAAAACACAAATTTGCAAGCTTGGTAGTTGATTAAATGTCCTTTGACCAGTATCTGGCCACTTGGAGTGCCTCTGGTGTTGCTGCAAGAAGGTCCTCCATTGTGCATGTGGCAGGGCTCAGGTTGCATTGCAGCAGGTGGTCAGTGGTTTGCTCTTCTCCACACTCGCATGTCGTGGACTCCACTTTGTGGCCCATTTCTTGAGGTTGGCTCTGCATCTCGTGGTGCCAGAGCGCAGTCTGTTCAGCGCCTTCCAAGTCGCCCAGTTTTCTGTGTGCCCAGGGGGGAGTCTCTCATCTGGTATCAGCCACTGATTGAGGTTCTGGATTCTTAGCCTGCTACTTTTGGGCTCTCGCTTGCTGGGGTGTTCTAGCAAGTGTCTCTGTAGATGTTAGAAAACTATTTCTTGATTTCAGTCGTTGACGTGCTGGCTGATACCCAAACAGAGGATGGGCCGGAGAAGTCACTGCCTTGGTCCTTTCACTCTTGGCTGCAACTTCCCGGCGGATGTCAGGTGGTGCAATACTGGCTAAGCAGTGTAATTTCTCCCGTGGTGTAGGGCGCAGGCACCCCGTGATAATGTGACATGTCTCATTAAGAGCCACATCCACTGTTTTAGCGTGGTGAGATGTGTTCCACACTGGGCATGCATACCTAGCGCAAGGGCAGATGTCTTCACTGTGTCTGGTTGTGATCCCCAGGTTGTGCCAGTCAGCTTTCATGTGATATTCTTTCTAGCGCCCACCTTTTGCTTGATGTTCAGGCAGTGCTTCTTGTAGGTCAGAGCACGGTCCAGAGTGACTCCCAGGTGTTTGGGAGCGCTGCAATGCTCCCGTGGGGTTCCTTCCCAGGTGATCTTCAGAGCTCGGGATGCTTCTCTGTTCTTGAGGTGAAAGGCACATGTCTGTGTTTTAGATGGATTAGGGATCAGCTGGTTTTCCCTGCAAGAGGCAGTAAGGGCACCTAGAGCTTCGGAGAGCTTCTGTTCAACCATCTCAAAGCTCCCTGCTTGAGTGGTGATGGCACGATCATCAGCATAGACGAAACTCTCTGTCCCTTCTGGCAGTGGCTGGTTATTCGTGTAGATGTTGAACATGGATGGCGCAGAGCACTGTGACTTCCACCAACAATGGACCTGGACCACATTTGGCACACAGAACCGCCATGACCAATGAAAAATACTGGAGAGGTTTTGGGGAAAATTGACCTTGATTTATAGCAGTTGTAGGTACTGGGACGTATAGTTTTCCTGCAATCAAAGAGCACTCTGGACCCCACCAAAGTTTTATCTATGTATTTTCATCTGTGTGTTTTATTTATGTATTTTAAAACAGATAGATAAAATGAAAACATTATAACACATCTATTAAAATATACATCCTGAGCATTGGGGAGAGACGGCTAAGAAATATTTTTTTTTCTATTGTTGTTATTGATATTGTTATTGGTATGATTTTAATGTGCATTAATCTTAAGTCTGAGTTTTTTAGTATATGTGTTATAAGGGTCTAATGTTTATGTTGTATGCTATCTCAAGCTTTGAGGGAGGTGGTTAATAAATAGATTATTTTTATAATTATTATTGGGATGACTATGATTTCAACTTGCTTTATTCTTAGATCTATATCTTTTAAATATGAGTTATAATGGTCTTATTATTATTTTTTACCTCCGTGTTTTAACTATGTTGTGCCCAGCCTTGTGAGAAAAGGTAGCTAAAAAGTAAAAAAAATATTACAACTTCTATTATTATTGTTACTAATTTTATTACTATTGCTATTACTATGCCCGGAGCCCTCGGTGGCGCAGTGGGTTAAACCACTGAGCTGCTGAACTTGTTGATGAAAGGTCACAGGTTCGAATCCGGGGAATGGCATGAGCTCTGTAAAGGATTATATGTAATATACCACTACTGGACCATAGTATGGTAGCAAGTTGAAGTTAGATAGAATGTGTAGTGGTAGAGTGAACACTGCTTCAGTCTTCTTTTGGTTTAATGCTGCCACCAACCCAAGCTGCTTTAGGATTTTTAAAATGAGTTTCTGAGGTAAACCTCTCCCACTTCCACCAATATTGCTCTACCCCTAGCTCCCAAAATGACTGTTTGGATAAGAGATCTTTCTGTGGTATCAGGATGTTAAAGAGGCTGGAATTATCACTGATAGATTGAGGAACGGTAGAGACCTTTTTGAAAGTTAAATAGAAAAAGATTTATTTATAAAAACAGACAACTAACTTCTTCTGAGAGGCACAAAACGCTTGACTTGTTACAAAAGTGTACTATAGCTTGATGGTTGCTTGAAAAGAGTTTCTTCACTTAGTTACATACAGAGCTAATCAAACAGATCTAGCTGCTGGTTACAAAAATCCCTCACTCTGAAGTAATAGCAACGAGTTACTGACTAACCTATCCTAGGCAGTCCCCTGAGCTATCAGCTAACTCTCCCAGAGTTCTTACCGCTAACTAACTCAGTCTAGAGAGGTAATCCCTTGTGCTATCTCCCACAAGAAATCAGGTAACTGTTTGACCTTTCCTGTCAGCTAATCAGCCCTCCCTGACACAGGCGCTCTCTCTCTGAAAACCCAGTTTCAAAAACGCTTCTTCTCCCACCAGCTCCCAATTCTCCACAGAAGCGGAAAACTTTTTTCTCCTAAGGCTTGGCTCCTCCCATCTTCTCTAGCCAATCCCAGGAGACCTCCAACTCCTCCCATCTTCTAGCTATCCTCACTCAAGATGGCTGCTTCCCTGGCCTACACTCCCAAAATGGAGGTTTGCCCTACTGTTATTCAGGCTTCCTTTTTGGCCTACTAGGTAAGATTCACTACAAGCTCCCACTGTTAGCCCCAGCTTCTGCCAGACTAGCAGTTTGAAAACATGCAAATGTGAGTAGATCAATAGGTACTGCTTCGGCAGGAAGGTAACGGTGCTCCATACAATCATACCAGTGGCCACATGACATTGGAAGTGTCTATGGATAATGCCGGCTCTTTGGCTTAGAAATGGAGATGATTCCCGAGTTGGACACGACTGGACTTAATGTCAGGGGAAAACCTTTACCTATTACTCTGCCTACTCCTAATAGAAAATTAATGATGGTATACCTGTTTTCCATTTCTTCTGCTCAGCCACGCCGTCCGCGCCTCGCAGCATTGTGGTCAAGATCAACGGCTCGGTGGCCGTCCTGGAGTGGAGCGAGCCACTGGAGAACGGCGGGAGGGACGACGTGGCCTACCACGTCCTCTGCACCGAGTGCCCTGAGCACCAGAGCTGCCGGCCGTGCTCCCGCCTGGTCTTTGCCCCCCGGGCGCGGGGCCTGGTGGAGCGGACGGTCACCGTGGAGGGGCTCCAGCCCTACATCACCTACACCTTCCAGATCCAGGCCGTCAACGGCGTCTCGGACCTCAGCCACAACCCGCCTCACTCCGACTCCATCAACACCTCCCCCAACAAAGACGGTGAGTGTGGGGTTCGAGTACAAATCTGGGGGAAAGTGTCTTTCTTTGGACTCCAGCTCTCAGATTCAGATTTTCTGGGTTGCAAAGCACAGAATCCCCTTAGCTAGGAGTCAGAGCTGGGAAAGTGACCTAAAATCATAGAATTGGAAGGTATCCCAAAGGTCAAACAGTCCAAACCCCCTCCTCTAAGATAGATAGGTGGATAGACAGGAGACAAGATAAGCAGTTGATGATGGAGAGATAGATAGATAGATAGATAGATTGATTGATTGATTGATTGATTGATTGATAGGTGGGCAGACACATAGGTGGGTAGGTAGAGAGAGAGAGAGAGAGAGAGAGAGAGAGAGAGAGATGAAAGACAAAATAGTCAGATAGACAAGTAAATAAATCGGCAGATTCATAGATAGGAAGATAGGTAGATGAGAGATTGGATTGATGGATGGATAAATAGATTGATAGGTAGGCTGATACATAGATAGGTAGGTAGGTAGGTAGGTAGATAGATAGATAGATAGATAGATAGATAGATAGATAGATAGATAGATAGATAGATAGATAGATAGATAGATGAAAGACAAAATAGACAGACAGACAAGTAAATAAATAGGCAGATACAGAGATAGAAAGACAGATAGATGAGAGATTGGATGGATGGATGGATGGATGGATGGATAGATAGATAGATAGATAGATAGTTTGATAGGTAGGCATATACATAGGTAGGTAGGTAGATTGATTAATG